AAGAATAGAATCTTTACCTGGTGTTAAAAAAGATTAGAACGGTGGTGCCAAGTGGGCCTCATTGGGGTGATCATGCCACAGCTATGGGGCTACCACCAAAGTGACCTGTTCCAACTCAAGTAGAAATGCTTTTGAAAGTTACATCTTAAGTCATGCATCTTCTGTTACCATCTTCTGATCTTCCTTTAAAAGAAGACCTCAAATGATGAGTGCAGTATGTGGTAGGTTCATACCCAAGCCTTCCTTGCTTGGTATGCTCCTCTCATCCAAAGCTTTGGACCCACCCTACCATTAGCCAAAGTGAGGCAGTCACCTCAGGCTGTGCATGTCAGGAGCAGTGTGGTTCCCTGTTCAACACCCATTCTTATCCTCCTGAGCTGACACCCTGGTGATGTTTGGATGTGGCTGGCTGGTTCCATTCAGAAAGTACTTTCTGACTTACCTAAGTAGAGGCAGGGGCAGGAGGCCAGGCCAGGCCAGGCCATGTCCTCCTCCTCCTGTAGGCATTGCAGGTGCATATGCATTTTTCTGCTCATCTGCTGCATAATGCATGTGTCATTGTTGACACTGGAGCATTTCCTGGTGTGGGCAGCAGAAGAGGTGCCAGGTGGAGCAGTGAGTGAACAGCAGTGAGGTGTTAGAGGTGAAAGCTGTGTGGGGATTGCTAGATAGAAACTGACCCTATATACCCTGATCCAAACCTGCAATGTCAGTGAACATTCCCTTTTCAGCTGTTTTCCCATCTAGTTAGAATGCTTTTGAACATTCTCTGTGAGACCGTGTAAGACAATGCCTGCACAATCATGTGCACAGAGGTAAATCAAGGGGTAGAATGCTTTTCTTTAAAAATCAGAACTAATTCTTAGAGGGACTTGAAATGATGAAAACCTATCACTTGCAGCCATTAGGAAAGGCACCCATCTCGATAAACATTTCTCCTTTCCATACATGTTGCAAAGACAAAGCTTTTTAATATTTTTATGGATGAACATGCTCTTCTTAACTACCTGATTCTTAAAACTTAATGCAAGGTCAGTTTAAATGGATTATCTGCACCCTTTTGACAGCTAAAAGACTAATATCACAGTGCTAGAAGGACAAACAACCACTTCAAGAACACATTGGGTTGATGATTTAATGATGCTTTCAAGTTTGAATGGGTAGCCTGTAGGCATAATCTACAAACAGGTAATTATATCAATATTTGGTCTGCTTTTGTTGAAAGCTGTACATAACTATTCTATTAGATCTATTCAAAGCTCATATAATAAAATGGTAATACTGCACTTTATTTAATTTTTATCTTTTTATAGTTTTGCCTTTGTTTAGATCAGGGGTTGGCAACCTTTAACACTCAAAGAGCCATTTGGACCCGTTTCCTACACAAAAGAAAACACCAGGAGCCACAAAACTCTTTTGACATCTAAAATGAAGATAACACTGCATATATTGTTTTCTACCTTAATGCTATGTATATCTTCGTTATGATTTAGCTGAAGCTCTTGTGCAGTCACTAAAAACTGTTATTTTTAATCGTACATTATAAACTAGTAGGACTCCTTTCATATATTTTGAATAGGAGAACAGCTTCCTGAAGAGTCAAAGTCAATGCTAAAAGGCTGCATGCGTTAAACAGCAAACCCCATAAGTTCGTCAGCAGTAAAAGCAAATGAATCTACCCACGTATCATTAAACATTTGGTTTTCTTCAGAAACTTTTCTTTTCTTCGATTTATCTATGGTTGGCCTATGGCGGGGGGTGGGGAGGGGAAGGTCAGTAAATCGGCCCAGGTCCGGATGGGTCGCCAGATCCGCAGCGCAGATCCGCAGCTGTGCCGGAGATACAGGTGTGTGTTTAGTGACGGATTAGCAGATAAACAGTCAAGTGCTGTGAATTGTGACAGGTCCCAAGCACAGCTTTTAACATTCAGATGAAGGCGATTACATTGGGACAAAGAGAATCTTTTCAGCACATGAGAAACATGAGAGCTTGTTTAGCAGATTTACTTAACTAGCTAGCGTTCCTGAGTAGAGCTTCAAGCAGATCAGCAGCTGTGCCGGCGCGTGCGAAGGAGCCACAGCAGATGGGTTCAAGAGCCATGTGCAGCTCCGGAGCTGCAGGTTGCTGATCCCTGGTTTAGATGTATTCAAATACACAATGAAATAATGTTTTAAAAACTCCCTCCTTGTTCCAACAATCAACAGTTCAAAGGGGAAAAAAAAGCTAGCAGTAGAAAATTTGGTAGTCAGGTGCTACTGTAAGACCTAAATACTGGGTCTAGCAGCTCACAACCAACCTGTGCTGCTGCAAACAAAACACAGATTCCTTCTTTTGCCTGCCTTTAACATTTTGCAACCATTTTTGCACTCATGAATTATAAACCTGAGTCATTCCTTGTTAGATATTTAACAAAAATACTGTGAAAAGAATACATATACTGAAAAGAAGAAGCAACGGGGTTTTTTGGATTTTTTTGTTTTCTTTTGTCTTAAGCCTGAGGCAGGAGTTGGTTATGTTGCTGGAAATTCAAATGCATATCATCTATAAAAGAAAACTGAAACATTTTACTCCTGGGTAAGATGTTGCTGCCTTCAAATATTATTCCCAGCCAGTTCAGTTTGGAGCCAGACATTCTATGGATCTGTTCTTGACATTCTTGATGACTCACCCAGAATTAGCTGTGCACATTTGGCCTCAGCTTTCCACATCACTTTCAGCAAGGAGGGAAAGAAGAGACAGATCCTGCGTCCATTGCCCCTCTGCTGGACAGGAAGCAGTGTCTGTCACTGCAGTGGCTGAGATGCTCTCTTGAGTGTTAAATGGCTAGGGGGTAAGCATGTTTGCAAACTGAATATGCACACTGATGGGTCTGCAAGGGGACAGGCTGACCACCATTTATTTATTACATTTGTATGCCACCCCATAGGGCTCCCTTTTGGGGTGAATGGGACTGGAGAGTCCCTTACCCTGTCACTGCCCTAACATTGTCGTCATGAGGCATGTTTGCTTTGTTCTTCTGACTCTCCCTTTAGTGTAGAGCTAGGCAATCTTTCTGGGCCTGTGAGCACATTTGGAATTTTGAGGTGCTCTCTTGAGCACCCTCACATTGTGGGTGCGCTGCTGATGAAAGCATCAGCCTACAGCCATATCCAGTCTTCAACCCCCATGTGCAGCCTTTATGGGAAAAGATGGGAGTGACCAGAGGGCCTCACTTTGCTTTTAAGTAAGCCAATTAACAATCTTCTTATTCAAAACAAATAAACAAAAAGAAAGTGAGAGAGCTAGGACACCTTGGAAGTTGCCAAGAAGAGTGCTTGAGAATGCACTGATGACCATGTGTGCCACTTTGGTTACCTCTGGGAGCAGACAACTGAGTGCCCTGCAGATTTTGAGACTGCAGCTCCCATATGATCCAACCAGCATGAGAAATAGTCAAGGATTATGAAAATTGTAGTCTAACACATCTGGATGCCCTCCTATCTCTGGTTTGACTTGACCACTTACACAGAACACTAACTAGTCCCCAGTGACTCACCAATTGGTTCCCACTTACTCAGAGTTGCACAGCCAGCACAAATTAGGAAATTAAGTTTATACACCCAGGATCAGAAATTATGTTTTGGCCTATGCTGCATCATAAATCATCACTGCCAGTCAGTGTTGACAGTACCGGGCTAAATGAATGTTCCCTATACAATGCTCCAGAGTGGATACTGGTTATGGATGTTGGCTACCTGTGTGAATCCAGCCACAAGTGGGGTGCGGTTGGCAAATCAGCCCTGTGGCCATGTACAAATTCCACCCACATCAGCAACCTATAGACCAAGATCCAATTTGGAGAGGAGGAGAATTGTGTGGAACTCTTATTGAAATAATTGGAACATGACATTTAATGAGATTGGACAACTGCATGTTGGGGATTACATGAGCAGAGTTGGTTGAAGCCATGGGTCAGACAAGATGGCCCAAGAGGCCCCTTCTGACTCACTTGGTTTCTGTGTTTTTATGTTTTTATGAGTTAAGTCTCAAGAATGTTGCTAAAACTTGGTGGAATTAGTCATCTCTGCATTGGGATCTTTGCCAAAATTTATGAAATTTAGGTACCGTACCTATTCAATCAATGCCTCTTGGAGGGTAAACTATGGTACCGATGCATTTCCTCCTTCCTGGTGAAACCCAAGATCCCAGGCTCTCGCTTTAGCCCTGGGAAAGGAGTGGGGGCTTTGTGGAGCAGAGAAGAATATGTCAGGACTGCAGGAGGAAGTGGGGCAGGCTGAGCCAGGACTCAAGGGTTTTGTCCCTGTCCCTAGAAGGAGATTGCTTGCTCTTCCGCTCTAGCTGCTTTCTGTCTTTGGAGTGTGAAGGCCATGCTAACGAGGCATGAAGGGAATTTTGACAGGAGAAAGGGTCATGAATGCAATCGGCACGTCATTGTATGCCAGACCCAGTTTCTCACTTCTGAAGGGTAATGGCTCTGGATAGGACTGAGAGTAGGGGCTAAGTGGAGCATCCTGTGCTGCAAAGAGAGGGAGAAAGAGGGGGTCTGGTTGCAAAGATTTGGGGGTGTATACCCCTGGAATTGAAAAAGAAAGGGTGGGGCCTGGTGGTCCAAAGAAGGCTTGTTAAAACGGTCTAAAATCATGGATGGATAGATACCCCAGTTCTGTACAGGGGAAACCCAAGCCCTGGGCTCACAACAAATCTTCACAGCCAAACTAAAGGACTAAAAATGTGCTTTGAAAGTATAAATTTTTTGAAGCAGAGATTTGGAAAGCAAGAAGAATCACTGAAAATATGTTCCATGCAGAACTGTAGGAGGAGATTCTCCTAGACCCATTAGGTACAGGAAACAGATAAAAGGGCCCTGGAAAGTTAAACAAAAAATAACTTCACCCCTCTTTGTTTTCCCTTTCCTTTCCTTTCCTTTCCTTTCCTTTCCTTTCCTTTCCTTTCCTTTCCTTCCCTCCCCCACCCCACCTCACCCCATGACCTCCCCTCAGGATGCCGTTTGGCTGCATCGGACTGCGGGATGAAAAGAACTACAACAGCCTCTCTGACATCACCGACAAGTATGAGATTGGGCAGCTGCTACGGGCGTAAGTAGGCAGCACAATGGAAACCACAGCTCCAGCTTCCTGCAGCCTTTGGGACTCTCCCCAGAAAGCAATGTCTTTACAAACAACCAAGGGGGCACAATAATTTGGGGTGGGAGGGTCTTCCCTTCTTGTCCAGTGATTTGGAACAGCCTGCCATGGCACCCTGATAACCCTGTGGCAAATACACATTGGCATTCTGGCTCTTCTGCTGGAGTGAGTGAAGCGACAATGGCAGGTGCTGCAGGGGAGGCAGCGGGCCTCTGACTTTTCTTCTTGAGCCCTCCAGTCATTCCCTTCTCTTGGAGAACACATCTGCCACATGCCTGTCTTGCACCCCTCAACCAGTGGGTTGCCGCTTGGCTGTGCTGTCCATTTACCAGGGCTGCAGTAAGATTCTGCTGTCAATCCAGTTGTCATCGGTCTGGCCCTTCAAACACTCGTGCTGACATTCTGATGCAGGACAGCCAAATCAGTGCCTTTTATTTCAGCAGGTCCCATAGAAAAGCATCTCGCTGTTTGTGTCAGAACACCAGCATGTGTGCTGGAAGGACCAGGCCCCAGACACCAGTCAGTATCAGTATGCAGGACAGAGACAGGTGCCATCTTGTCCTTTTGTCTCAGGCAGCAAAATGCCCTGGTTCAGTCCTGCATGCAACTGTGCTGAGACCCGTACCCTGATTTTCATAGGCATGCCATCCTCCCCAGCTGTTTGGAGACTTGAGGTTGACCTTTGATTGCAAAACAGAGCTCCACGTTGCCTCGTTCACAGCCCTTCTGCCACTGCGAATCCCCAGCCAGCTGCTTCCCCGCACTTCCTTTTGCTTGCATCACCGCTGCTCCTTTTGCACTGGCTCACCACACCTAGTACATGGTGTGCTCACTGAACAGGTAGCAGCTGCGAAGTTTGGTGTTTTCATTTCAGCCCCTGCCTGGCCAGCCAATTTCCACAAGTGGCAGATGGAGGAAAGGGCACAGGAGCAGCAAAAATGGCCAGCCGAGATGGGAAGGAATGAAGTGTGACTGGCTGCCAAGGGAGATGAGCAGCAAGCTAATGGGCAGCAGATGTGACAAGGTCCCAGTTGCCCCTTGCACATGCCAGACCATTTAGTATCTCTGTTGTAGCACAACCAATCTTGCAAGCTTGCCCCGGTACCTTGCTTTATTCATTACATTTATATTCCACTTTTCTTGACAGGAGCTCCATGTGGCATATGTTGGTCTTCCCCCTTCATTTTATCTTCACACAACAACCCTGTGGGGTAGGTTAGGCTAAGAGATGGCAATTGGCCAATTCAGTGAGCTTCATGGCTGAGTGGCTTATTTGAATCCAGGATCCTAGCAAACTCTTGTGCTTTTTTTCCAGAGATCACAAAGCTATTAAAGTCTGTTAACTGGTGCCATGATAGAGTAAATGGAACCTCTAAATTCAGAAGCAGAATATACTTCCAGTTATTAGATGCCGTGGATGGGCATCTTCTTTGTGTGCTGCTTGTATGCTCCCCAAAGATGTTTTGGAAGAGAACCTGTGTGTAACATGGTAGTTAGAATGCTGGACTAGGACTCAGGAGATCCACTTCTAGTCCTCACTTGACCATGAAGCTTTGGGCTAGTCACTGTCTCTTAGCTTACCCTACTATGCAAGGTTGTCATGTAGATTACATGGAGAGAAGGACCATGGAAGCCCCCTTGTAAGTGGAAAGTCAGTGGGCTATAAATGCAATAATAATAAGTAATGAAATTAAGCTGAAAGGCCCCTACAGTAAACAGACCAGGTGGACTGTTGCTCTGACCAAGCAGTTCTTAAAGCAACAACAGGTTTCCTTTGGTTCTCCCCCATGCTACAGGAAGGAGTTCTGTGAGATCTGTGTGGCCCGTGAACGGCAGACGGAAAGACTTTACATCTGCAAGAAGTTTCTCAAAAAAGACGGGCGCAAAGTGCGAAGGGCAGCAAAGAACGAAATTCTCATCCTGAAGATGTAGGTGTCTGTTCTCTGTGTTGGGGGTGGGCAGGGTTCAGTGGTGGCCCCCTGGTATGAGGGACAAGGCTTTCCCTGGTTATGAACTACAATGGATGCATATTGTCTCCAGTGTCAGAGGCAGCACGCCTGATTACCAGTTGCTTTGGAGCACATGCAGGAGAAAAGGCTATTGTACACATGTCCTCCTTGTGGGAAGCCCACAGGGATGTTGCGCACGATGGATCCCATCCAGTATGGCTGCTCCAATATCTGGTCGATACTCCGGCATAGATGCCTGCTCTGCACCCCTGTGAAAGTCACCGGGTTAAATTAAATACAAGGCACCACAATGCCTGACACTACCTTGGGGAGCTGTGGCCATGTTTCTTTTTAAAAGGCACCACGTTGCTGTTTCTGGTGCCATGAGGCAAGCCCCTAGCCAGGGGAACACCAAAGGACCCGTTGCCATGCCAGAGAGCTGCTGGGGTGCACATCACGCACAGGAGTGCCAGCTCATCCCCATCTGCATGGAAGTGTGTGGGTTTCTTGGTTGCGTTGAGGAACCACGCCGTGCTTCCATAAATAATGCTCCCTGGAGCTTCTTTTCTTCAGCTGCCAAGTTGATAGGATGTATGAGTTCACGGTCACCGAGCCATAGTTAAGCTCACAGCTTTACATGCTCAGTTCCAGCAACAGAAGTATGGAGTAGGGGCTGGAGAGCCATGCGATTGTGAAGAAGAGAGAGAGAATGTGAAAGGCATCGCTTTTGTTTCCCTTCCATCACAGAAGCAAATGTGTGGAGGTAATACAGTGGCCATCTGCTTGTTTTCCTTGCAAGGCTTCTGTGCCTTTAATAACTGCACGACAAGGCAAAATTCCTCAGCTAAAGTTTTTCTCCTTCACTATATTTGCATGATGGGGAAAAATTCTCTCTTCTTGCAAACTACATCTATTGAACAGAAACAGTGCAAGATGACCGAGTGAAGGGCAAGCCAAAATGAAAATTCAGCATAGACAGGACTAGGTGATGGGCTGATGATCGGCCACAAACTGCTATCAAAATGTAAGCAGCATGGCGCTTGCTTGGGAGTCACTTGCAGACCCACTACTCCCCTTTGGAAAATGAGCTAATGGGGGCATAGGGAAGAGTCTGACCCATGCAATGGAGAAGATGGTTCTCCTGCTGTCTCCAAGCTTCCAGAAGCATCTGCCAGCATGGCCAATGGTCAGGAAGGTGGGAGTTTAATTCCTTGTCTGAAGATCTACTCTCTGCCCACCCCTCTCTGGAGTAGCCTGAGGCTTTTTGGAATACCCAGTGATGCAAGACAAAGTGGCTCTCCTGATATTTATTCCGTGAAGAACATTTCTGTCCCACTTTTCTTCCATCTTGGGTTTCAAGCCAAGATATGTGGGTTTCCATGCTAGGTAATATTCCAGCCAGCCTCCAACCAAGCATGGACCTGCTTATTTTCAGGGAGGTGACCATGTCAAATGGCCTCAGACCTGGCCCTGGGGACAAGTGGTCCTAGACTGCTGAATTAATCTGAGAACCAGCCCCCAAAGCAGAACCAGGTGGTCTGCTTCCCAGCCAATCAAGGCCTAAAATGAAAAAGATGATAAAACTTTCCTAGCTCTTCAGATGGGGGCAAAGCCAGTACAGAACCAGTTTCATTTGGACTCTCACTTCTGACTGGCAATGTGAGGTTCCCTCCATGATCTGGACCCTGTCCCTCACACGCACTGGCATCGCACAGGTTGAAAAGGCCAATACCCTTTTGGACAAGCTCTGATCAAATTCCAGGCTACAACTTTGTCTTGCAGCAGCCTAATTTGTACCCTCCCTCAAACTCAGGAAGGCCTTGGAAATCCTAGCTGTACTTTCTTTTTAAAAAATGTAATTAAATGATGCTGTCAGCTTTGACTTCTTAAAAAGAACTTTAACAATAGCAAGTATATTAACTGCCAAATAATTTGAAAAACTCTTTATGTTCTTATTCTTTCCCAACAGGTTTCATAAACTGCACACAAAGCTGTCATTACAGCAAAATGTGCCCTCACCTTATCTGAATTTGTAAGGGCAAAAGAGGGAATAAAAAAACTTGCTTTAAAATTATTTTTGTTTCTGTGAATCAGGCATGCTTCCCAAAAGAGAGCGGCAGAGATGAAAGAAAGAAAGACACCACCTTTGCCTGTCCCCATCTAAACTGCAGCTGGCACTCTTTTTACCATCAAAGCTGTGCACCTTATTCCGTGTTGCCTCACATCACAAGAGCTGTTTTTAGTCTCTTTAAACATTTAAAGGGCAGGAATGAATTATTGACAAGGCCCCAGGGGCAGGCTAGGATTTCTGCTGACTTGGTCTTTGCAGAAAGAGTCCTTTGGGTGCAAACAACAAAGCCAAACTGATAGGGAATGGCAGCACAGGGAAGATCTCAGCATGGGAGGAAGGGGAGGAGGAGGAGGAGAATACCAAGGGCCCAGTAAGGTTGATCAGGGAAGAGATTTATGCTTGGATTGGATTGTACTTGGCTGGACTGAGAGGGAGGGGCAGGGAAGATGGAAAGCTAATACATTTCTGCATTCTTCTTCCAGGGTGAGTCACCCCAACATCTTGCAACTGATTGACACATTTGAGACAAGGAAGGAATTCTACATCATCCAAGAACTGTAAGTTTCACTGGGAGATAAAGATGCACAGTTGAATCAGACAGATGTCTGAGAAGCAACTGGATGTGGTGATGAGGGTGCCTATCCAGTCAGGGCAGGAGTACCAAACATGATACAACAGATTAACAGCAATTAAAGTGATAACTGTGTAACATTCTCTTTTTCCTCCCAGTGTGTGATAAGTAGGTTTGTTTTCAAGCCGGTTGTTAAAAAAACACTCTTTCCTTTCCGTCAGAAGAGAAAAATATTCCAGGCATGCAGAGTTCTTTTTAAAACTTTACTGCAATGAAGGGAACAGAAAAGAATGGTTTCCCTCCCCATTCTTCTGTTCACCTGAGCACATGTTCACCCCCCCCCCTTTTGAACCCTGCTCCTGGCCGCTTGTTCCCTCCTCCTTTCCCCTAATTGGCTAATAGGGTACTGAGAGTTACATTCTTTCCGCCCACCAACACCAGCCCTTCTTCCCAATCCAGCCCTGCCCCTGGTGGGCTACAAGAGGCTCATTTTGTTCTGCCCAGCTTGTTGATAAACAATCAGGAAGTATTTGGCCCTCCTGCCTATGTGCCTGCTTCCCCATACCTTGTGCTGATTTTAGCCCCTCCCCACCCCTCCACTCCTTTGGGCTAAGTAATTTTGTTACCCTTTTAAATCTCTTTTTACTCCCTTGTTTCAAATCATCCTTTCACACCTATCACCAGTAAATGAAATTTCAGATTTATTTTACTGTGATCGGATCTTATGAAGGAGCTCAAGGGGGCACACACAGGTCTTTCCCAGGCTCAGTTTTATGCTCACAACAATCTTGTGAGGTAGATAAGTCTGAAATATGGTGCCTGCCCGAGGGTACCTGGTGACTTTCATGGCTGACTGGGGATTTGAACCAAGGTCTCCTCAGTCCTAGTATATCCACTGCACTGCCTTGGAACAGGTATCAGCTTGCTTGTATAACTCACTGGGCAACAGACTAGGTAGAGGGTTTGTTCCAGCTTCTCACTGATCCTGTGCTAGCAGCCTGACACAGTCAAACACACCCAGATACTGCTGGAGGTTGAAGAGGAGAAAATCAGACATGTGCTATGAAAGAGCAAGTTGTGTATGTAACCTTGTCTCAGCAGGAATGCTCTATTGGTGCAGTGAGACATTCTGCATTTTAGTCGTGGTAACTTTAACAACCATTGTTAACATGGTTGGGTGCTCTTTCCTACTGTGTGTGTGTGTATGGGCTGGGAGGAGTATACAACTGAGAATGTACCCCAGGGCATAGGATGAATTAACTACAATACTGGTAAGAATGGGACATGCTAGGCACTGAACAGTTGCTAGGAAAAGAGTGATGCCTCCAATATTGCTACACCCTCCCAGGCCTAGGGTAGCCAGTGGCAAAAGAAGGCAAGCTCCTGCACCTTTATTGGCTTGCTATGCAAGTTGTAGCTGCTGAAATTCCCTCTTCTGCACAACTATAAAAGGTACAGAAGCCCTGTCTTTTTTGTGTTTTGGACACATTTCTCATTTTTGTATGACACTCCCAAGAGATCCCAGTTCTGGGCACAACATCCAGCAACTGAAGTGGGGTTGCTCACATTTGGTGCTTGCACTCACACAGAATTCTGCATGGATTATGGTAACTGCCGTGTCATGGTGGGGATCGCAGTGACGATTTTTCTGTGCCTTTAAAAAGACAATGCCTTGCTTTCATGCTTGCAATAAATTATTACAACTGTTTTCACCTCCGTATTTAGGATGATTATGATTGCAAACAATGTGCTAGGGAAGATTGATGATGATGTTCGTCCATCGTTTTCAATGAGGACCTTGACATCTAACGGGTTGTGAGTTGTCCACGGTGTGTCTGCAGGTGGTTGATAAGGCCGATATGGGCACGGAGTGTTCTGCCACATGTCAGGCAGACATGTGTGGGCACCACTGTTGCAACATTTGCAACTCTGGCTTTATGGAGTGCTCACTTCTCTTATGCTATGGTTGTCCTTCTGGCTTCAGAAGTTTGGCAGCCTTGGTGGATCAGCCTGCGCTATGTCCATCGGTCTTGTGCCAGGTGGTGTCAATAACAAGGGACTTGAGAGAGGCTTTCAGTGTGTCTTTGTATCACTTCTTTTGTCCCCCGTGCAATTGCTTTCCTTGAGACAACTCACCATAAAAGAGCTGTTTGGGGATGCGGTGGTCTGGCATCCTTGCAACATGACCTGCCCAGTGTGTCTGGGCTTTCATCAGCAGGGTGTGAACTGATGGCAGGCCTGCTTTGGAGAGGACTTCTGTGTCTGACACCTTGTCCTGCCACCGGATCCTCAAAAGTCTGCGGAGGCAAGTAGTGTGGAAGTGGTTCAGTTGCCTAGCATGCCTCCTGTATACTGTCCAAGTCTCACTGGAATAGTGCTTGGTAAACTTTAAGCTTTGTAGCAAGGCTTATTCCATGCCGGTCCCACACTTTGGTCAGCAGTCTGCCGAATGCAGAGCTTGCCTTGGCGATTCTGCAGTCGACCTCAATGTCAATTGTCACTGTGTGGGAAAGGGTGCTGCCAAGGTGTGTAAATTGGTCCACTGCTTGCAGCTTTTGTCCCTTCACTGTGATGGTGGGCTCTTGGTATTGGGCTTTCGGAGCTGGCTGATGCATCACTTTGGTTTTCTCTGTGTTGATGAGGAGGCTGAAGTTGTCACATGGTATTGTGAATTTGTCCATCCTGGCTTGCATTTCCTGCTCTGATCCAGCATTCAGGGCACAGTCATCAGCAAAAAGGAGGTCTCGTAGCACAGTCTCCTTTATCTTGGTGACAGCCTGGAGTCTTCGCAGGTTGAACAGTTTCCCATTGGTTCTGTATTTCAGGCTGACTCCCAAGGAGTTGTTCTGAAAGGCGTCTGTCAGCATGGCTGAAAACATTATGCTGAACAGCGGCGGTGCCAGCACGCGCCCTTGCTTGATGCCATTTGTGATGAGAAAGGCCTCTGAAACTTCTCCGTCGTCCAAAACACGAGCTGTCATGCCATCATGGAACTGATGTACCATCAGGATGAATCTGTCAGGACACCCAAACTTCGACATGATGTGCCACAGACCTTTGCGACTCACAGTGTCAAAAGTCTTGGTGAGGTCCACAAAGATGGTGTACAGTTCACAATTCTGCTCTTGACACTTCTCTTGGAGCTGTCAGGCTGTGAAGATCATGTCCACAGTGCCACGCTCTTTGCGGAAGCTACACTGTGTCTCGGGTAGTAGACCCTTTTCCAGGTGGTCAGTCAGGCGATTCATCAACACATGTGCAAGGATCTTGCCTGGGATGGAGAGCAGTGATATTCCTCTATGATTATCACAGACGTGTCTATTTCCTTTCCTCTTGTAGAGGTGTACGATGGATGCGTCTTTCAGTTCCTGAGGAATGGATCCTTGATTCCAGAAGGACTGGAACAGCTGAATGAATTTGTCAACAAGCACTGCACCACCTTCCTTATAGACTTCTGCTGGGATCCTGGGGCCTTGCCACTGGACAGCTGGCTGATGGCCTGTAGGGTTTCAGGCTTTGATGGTGGGGCGTCCAGGCTGTGGTTGATATCCGCATGGGGCATTCTGTCAATTGCCTCATTATTGATGGAGGATGGGCGGTTCAATACGGATTGGAAGTGCTCAGCCCAATGCTGTAGAATCAGAGTCTTCTCACTAATGAGAGTTGCACCATCTGAGTCCAGAATAGGGGAGCTCCCTGAGGGCTGAGGTCCGTACAAGGATCTGAGGGCTTCGTAGAACCATTTGGCATCGTTTCTATCAGCAAACTTCTGGATTTCATCTGCTTTGGCACTCAACCAGGAGTCCTGCATCTTGCGAAGCTTGCTCTGTACAGTCCTGCGAGCGTTGTTGAAGGCATTTTTCTCAGAAGTTGACAACGGGTCATTCTGATGAGCACAGTGAAGGCGGTGCTTTTCAGCAAGTAAGGCCTTGATCTCTTAATCGTTTTCATCAAACCAATCCTGCTGTTTCCTGTGTGAGGGTCCAAAAACCTTTAGTGCAGAAGAGTGCACAATATCCCGGAAGCGTTCCCAGTCCTTCTCAGCATTTTTCTCTAATTGCAGCTCTGAGAGTTGGTTGTCAAGATCTGCTGTGTTGGGGTTCCTCAGTTTACTGACGTTGATCTTTTTCATCACAGATTTGTTTCCCTGCGAACATCTCTTAGGCTTGATGTGAAGGCTTAATTTGGAGATGATGAGTCTGTGGTCAGTCCAAGACTCAGCACTCGGCATGGCCTTGGTCACCATTACATCCTGTCTGTCTTTCCTCCACACGATGACATAATCAATGAGATGCCAGTGCTTGGAGCGTGGGCAGGCAGAAGATGGTATTAGTGATGATCAGATCATGAGCTGCACATGTCTTCAGTAGTAGTAGGCCATTGCTGTTACATTTGCTGATTCCATTTTTTCCAATGATGCCATCCCAGGCAGAGTGATCGAATCCTACTCTCGCATTGAAATTGCCAAGTAGAATCAGCCTGTCGGTGCGCTTCATGAAAGAGAGTAGGGCATTGAGATCTTCATAAAACTTTTCCTTTACTTCATCCGGATTCGTCATTGTGGGTGCATAGGCGCTGATCAGTGTGGCTTGCTTTTCTCTCGGTAGTGGGAGATGCAGTGTCATAAGTCGGTCGTTCACGCCCTTGGGAAGACTGGCAAGTATGGGGACAAGATGATTCTTAATCGCAAAGCCAACTCCAGATTCATGACGTTCGTCACTGCTACATCCACACCAGAAGAATGTGTAACCGCCTCCTGTTTCTGTGAGCTGACCTTTGTTGGCTAGGCGAGTTTCACACAGGGCTGCAATATCGATGTTAAATCTTGCAAGCTCTCTAGCAACCAGGGCTGTTCTTCTTTCTGGTCAATCTGCTGAGGGGTTGTCTTGAAGCGTGCATACATTCCATGTGCCAATAGTCAGTGGTGTTACCTTGCGTTTGCGTTTTGTTTGAAGTTTTGTTGTTCGGCCGCATGAGATGCGATCCCCTCCGGCCGCGGTAAGCTGGCCAGGGTTCTGTGAAGCAAACAATGTTTAGGACACCTTTTCTAGCCCCTTCCTCTTGCTATGGAGGTGAGCAGTGCTGTCCTAAAGAGGGCTGCTCAGTCATTCAGGTAGACACCGAATCCAGCTGTTGCTTCAGTCAGCAAGTAGACGACCATTAGACATGCTTGCAGTAAATTATTACAACTGTTTTCACCTCCATATTATATTCATGATGATTATGATCTCAAACAATGTGCCAGGGAAGATACAAAATACAAGGCAGCATGCTTGGCCAAAGGATTATATTCCAGGGTAGACAGAAAGGACTTAAGGTTCTCTGGTCAGCAGTGGACCTTCTGTGTCCTGCAACTTCCTTCTTTTTCCTTCATGGCCTCCATACAGTCTCTGTTACCTCTTTATGCACTCTCTTAGTAGTCCATCAGTATCTACCCTGACTTCTCTCACCAGTCCTTGCTAAAAAAAAAAAAAAAAAAGCACATTCTGACACAGGTCAGATATTGGGTTCCAGAGGAAAAATATTTAAGTTGAATTAAACCATGCAATAAGACAATTATAAATACAATGCAATAATACTGATATTACTAATACCAATTGGATTTGAGTGAAGGATTTCAGTTTTGTGGTTACAGAGTAACATTTGGGCTTTTTTTTTTCTTTTTGATGGGCCAAGTGGGAATCTCCCAGACAGCCCCCTTTGTGCCATCCAAGTCTCAGCACAGGGCACACCACACAGCAGTGCCCACAGAGAAACAGTGTGCTACCCCTTCTCCAGTTAATTTGTCATTCAGATGCTCTTGTGTCCCTGCAGGGCCACTGGTGGAGATGTTTTCGACTGGATCCTAGACCAGGGCTACTACACAGAAAAGGATGCCAGCAATGTGATCCGGCAGGTGCTAGAGGCATTAGCCTATTTACATAACCTGCACATTGTTCACCGCAATCTCAAGGTAAGGAGAAGATCTGGATTTGTGAATCCCAGGACCAAAATGCTTGGGGTAACCCCCACCCCCTATCTAGTGGCACTATCCCTCTGGGAAATCCTTCTTTTCAGTAACAGAAGGATCAAAAGCTACCCCGTGTTTTGCACATCAGTGTAGAGAGGGGCAGTGTGTGTGGGGGGGTAACTTTGTTTTTTCTATCATCCCATATCTCTGCTGCCTCCAGCTGGAGAATCTCATGTACTACAACCAGAACAACCGCTCCAAGGTAGTACTGCGGGATTTTTACCTTTCACGCTTTGAGAATGGTGCCATTACAGAACCATGTGGAACCCCTGAATATTTGGGTATGTATTTGCCTCCCTTTCCAGAGCTAGGCCTCCAGGGAGCTCTTAATGCTAGCCCTTAGAAAGCAAGGTGAAGCTATTTTCTCCTTAATTATTTTTTCACAGTTTAAAAAAAAGACTCTATACAGATTATTACTTAAACGGGATTTGGAGATCACAGCAAGGGCTCTGAATCAGTTGATAACCTGGTTGGGTTATTAAAATCGATCAGGAATACTGGATAAAAATTGAGGAAGTGCTTCCTTCAGAGCTACATCAGCTAAATGCACTTAAAAGATTACAAAAATAGTATTGAATGCCATCCAAAATAGTAAAGATAGATAAATTTTACCATTGTGTTGGAGAAGCTGTGGGATTATGGGATCTTTTGTTAACTTGTGGTGGGACTGTGAATGTATTCAATTTTGGATGGAAATGTTTTAAGACATCTCTCCCGTAATGAAAGTGCAGTAGTAAAAACTACTACTTAATTTTTACTTAATCCCAGAATTGGAATTAATAAACCCAATGATCAAAATCAAGCACTATTAGCTTAAAAGTGAACTGACTTTCTTTTAACAGCTGTACATATGTTGATAGCCCAGGTGTTGAAAGTATGCAAACTGCCTAAATTAAAGGAGATAAATGTGAAATAGCAGTTTCAGGAAAAACTTCCCTCCTTTTGGAAATGAGTAAAAAGATACTTTTGCAATAGAATGGCAGTACATTTAAAACAATATATACAAATAGAATCACAGCACCAACTCAGGTTCCAACTGCTTTTAATAGCCTCTGGTTGCAAGAACATCTAATTTAATGGAAAGAGTAGAGTGAAAAACAGTGAATCAATACCAGCACATGTAATTGTTTTATTGTTATTGTAAACTAAAAAATAGCAAAAGGGAAAAAAGACAGGAAGACATTGTTGCCTAGTCCCCCAAATATTTCTGTGAATCAGGCAAGGAGATGGCATGCTCAGTGTGGAAGCTATATAAGTTTCTCTGAACTGCACGGCTCTTACTGGATTTCATGACACAGCCACAGCAGTGTTGCAAGCATTTCTTTCCTGTGTTTTTAAGAGTTGGTCAACAGGCAGAAATGCAACATGTGCAGCTTCTCTCAGCACAGAGATAAAGAAAGAAGAAATCTCACCTGTTGAGTTTCTGCCTCTCAGTGAACTGACAAGAAGCACAAGGAGAAGTTGCAGCCATAGCACTCACTAGCTCCAAGCTACAGGGACTGTTTCTTCTCCAAATTTTTCATAATATTCTCTGACCCATGTGTCTTTCCATACAGCTCCTGAAGTGGTTGCCCGGCAACGCTATGGACGACCCGTTGACTGCTGGGCTGTGGGAGTTATCATGTTTATTCTGTGAGTTCCACATGTGCACGTGTGTATGTATGTGTGTGTACGGGTGTGTGAAATCACAGTACTGTGGTTTGAATAGGAGGAAGGATGTATGTGTATATAGAAGAGGGAGGGAACATGTGTGCATGTCCAAGAGAGAAGAGAGGAAAAAAGTAAACTTGGATTAGGCTGAAGAATCAGAAGACAAAGCCCACTGACAGATATGCTAGATTTAAGCATAACTTTTGGGAGGGAGATGCATGCTTGGGTGTGTTTGGGTGAAAGCTGTCTGTTGCCTTGTAATCACTGTCCCCCGCAACCCCATCCCAACAGGCTGTCTGGGAATCCTCCATTCTATGATGACACAGATGACGAGAACAGCGACAGTCACAACCGCCGCATATTCCGCAAAATTCTGGCGGGGGACTATGACTTTGACTCCCCTTACTGGGATGATATCTCTCCTGCTGGTAAGAGAGAGAGAGAGCACCAACCCAGCCTCTCTTTACCTTCTGCAGTACACCTCGAATAATTGACCCATTTTCTGATCTTGCTACACTAAGCTTAGCCTGGGCATCCAGCAAAATTAGGTGTTAAAATCCTACCATGCACACATGGCTGTCATTATGCATTTAAAGACTCCCAGTAACATAGCAAAATAAAGCCAGAGCAACAGCAAGACAGGGTCTAGCTCAGCCCACTCCTTTTTGTGCTGGTTTTCTATTTTAAAAAAGCAGAGAAATATGGTGGGGGGAGGAGGGTGGACATGCAGGCAATCCTGTGTGTCGTGTGCAATAGTACAGTCCATTCTATCACCTCAGGACCCTATCTCTACTTTCTCCTATCTCAGGCCTGGTTCTTGATACCAGACCACTAATTCACTTCTACATTTCCTAATGCCTATCATTTTTTCCTCAAAGCCAAAAAATTGGTGTCAAGGCTTATGGAAGTTGATCAGGATCAGCGAATCACAGCCCAGGAGGCACTGGGACACATCTGGTGAGTGGCAGCTCTTCTGGACAGTGGTGAATGAACAATTTGTGAGGCCCAGAACTTAAATGCACATGGATAAAAATTGCTTATATATTGCGTACTGCAAAAATTCTCCAAAGATACAGAATATTTAACAAAAATCATGCATCCAAAGAAAGGTGTAAGGGGAAAAAGAACAGGATGTGTAAGTATAAAATCTAATAGTAACATATAATATACACATAATGAAACAAAATCTCTAACAGGAACGGCTCTTTAAATTAGCATACAGCAAAATAAGCTAAATATGTTTTGATGTAAACATCTTCTTCAGTGGCCCAATAACATTAAACCAAATCTGTGAGATAAACTTTTTTAAATATTAAAACCTTGAAGTCAGCACTATCAAAATAATAATGTAAATGATGCATTGAATGACCTTATTTGGTGGGAAGTAATTCATAAACTTGCACCATTCTCATCAAGATATTTTCACCTAAAGGCATTGGCTCCTTTGTGGAGGGTATGTCCAATTCCTGTAGACAAGTCAGATGCTTGATGAGGCACTTTCAGGAAAGGGAAGCTCTGAAACAAGCTGTGAGCTGGTATCAGGGCCTGCAGCCCGTCAGGGGCCCATTCACAGACCCTCCTGGGCTTGCTGCGGCTCAGACAATGGTGGGAGCAAGGGGGAAGAGAAGCAGATGCATCTGCCTGCTTGCTCATTGGCTCTCTGCCCATCAAGAAACTAAAGGAGAAAGGAGATTTTATGGAGAACCTTAATTACTTTAGGAAAGGGGGGGGGGTTGTTTTTTACAGTCATGTTGAGGAATAATTTCTCAGCAAGTTTTGAGATATCTTTGCAGTCTCCAGATGCAGACCTTTGGAAGTCAGTCAGTTGCTCAGGATGGTTGTTTAGAAAAAGTATCCGATGTCTAGTTCTTGATTTAACTTTGCATGCATGAGTTTCAAAGCCTTTGGGTGAGTATGTGTTCTATTTTTGAATATGTTCTTGTTGTCTTTTGGTAGTGCTGACTTCAAATTGGTTTTTGTTCACAGATTTTGGTTTGATGTGTATTTTTACTGCTTGATTTTTGGATTTTGTGCTCTTTGGTGCCAACACATGGATTAGCAGCTGACTAATCCACACTTGACTTTGACTCAGTCCTACATGCTGGTTTCTTTAGGCCTGCATTAAAAAGTGGGGATTGGTGTAATAAGCTGCTGATGTGACCACACCATTTCCCCTGCAAAGCTGGAGAGAACAGTGTCATCTTTCCATGCCAGGGACACCGAATATCTTCCATCCTGAGGGCTGAATCTTCAATTTCATAGAAGCTGGAGGGGGGACATCCCAGTGTTTGGGAGTGGTAAAAATGAAAGTGATGCAGCTAAAATTAGCAGAGGTGCAGGGCATTATTATAATGGATCCTAAAATTTAATGAACATTAATTTCTACTGGTTAGTTAGAAAAAGTCTGTACCTTGTCTTTGGTCTGATTAAATAATAAAGAGTGTCCTAGCAGAGGGCAGGGTGCGGCCTCTAGTCTCAAAACCAGCATATGTGGGGAAGAAAGACCAGCATTTGTGGCAGTGGTAATAAAATCACATGCTCCAAATAGACATGTCAAGGATTGAACATTCCTTCTTTCCCACACATTTGGGAATGCCTTTACCTGTGACACATGTGTGTGTCATCTTTAACAAAGAAATACTGTCTTTTGCCCTTCAAAACTATGATGGTATTCCTAAACATATGAAGATTTAATACATTATCAATACAATCCTGTACATGTTTACTCAGATGTTAGGCATGGAAAATTCAGCAGGGCTTAGTCCCAGATAGGTGAGCACTGCATTGCAACCTAAATTGATCACTCATTATAACTTACTGGGATTTCTTGGCTGCCCAGCATAATACATTCATGTGTTTCTGTCCATCCAATAAAACTGACCTGGCCTGTCTATTCTAAAGCATGGGAAATTGTTTAATATTTTAAGCCATTGATAGCTTATTTCCACTCTCTATCCCTGCAGTTATTTATGTAAGTATTACATTTCTAACCTACCCAATAACTAATGTTCTCTTGATAGATTACAGTTAAAAAATTAAAATGCCACACAACAGCTATAAAATACAAAGAAATGTTTAAAAGAATACAATATAATGTAAAACAATAAGCAGCACAAGAATCTATAAAATAGCCCCAATGACCTAAAACTAGGGCTCTAAAATGCTTCAGGGAAAAGAATTATATTTGCCTGACACTGAAAAGTTAACAATGTGGGTAGCTGGTGACCGTCTTTGGGGAGTTTATTTACAACTAGTACTGTATCACTGGAGAAAGTCCTTCTTTCTTGTAGCCCCCTTTGTAAGGGGCTTTGTTAGAATGATCTAAGGGTTTGTGCAGGTACACATGGAAGGAGTCATGCCTTTGCATCCTAAAAAACAGTGAAAACAATGATTAGAAGAGGAACAGGTATGTGTAGTGGGTATGAATCTGGTCTCAAACCAGGTCATGTAAACAATTAGTTCTACCATTCTACCTGGAGGAACCCCTTCATTCCCCTGTCTTTGTTCCTCCCTCTGGATCTTCATAAGGACAGGGTTGGAATGCAGGCCCCACCAGAAATTGTAGTATTCCAGCTTCCTTTGACCTTAGCCAGTGTCATGTGTGGTGCAGGAAGATGGGAACTGCATTCCCAAAAACTCTGGAGATGTGTTCCCCATCCTTGGATGAGATATATCTCCCCACAGAAACATTAGAAATCCCTCCCCTCATCCTTGTTTATTTTGCAAGGTTCCACAAACCATTTTCCTTTTCTAGATTCTTGTCTTTCAGGAACATTAGCAAAATAAACTGGTTGAAACATAGAAACAGAGCAAGTCAGAAGGTGTCTCCCGGGCCATCTAGTCTGACCCCTGGCTTCAGCCGGCTCCGTTCATGACATGCCTATCATGTCTAGCCTAACCTTGAACACCCTTACCAATGGGGTTTCATCTACCTCCCGTGGAAGCCCATTCCATACCCTCGGGGTCCTAACTGTTGGAATACAAATTTCTGGAATCCAAATTGAACTTTTGTTCCCTGAGCTTTGCTTTATTGGAACATGTCCTGCCCTCCTCTGCAGGGGAAAACAGCTCCCTACTGACCTTTATGTGACACTCCCTCAAATATCGAAATATCACCAACAGATCCCTTTGGAGTCCCCTCTTCTCCAGGCTGAAAAGACCCACTTCCCTCAGTCTCACTTCATTTGATTTCCCCTGTTGAAATGTTGATTTGTCTGCAGAGTGGTGAAAAACTGGCTTTGCCTTCTGCTTTTGTTTTTTTAAGAAGGGATATTCAGTAACAATCCAGCACAGACTTTGTATTTGTGAGTCTGCAGAGACTAACGCTGTTTCTCATTATTTATTAAATTGCCCCACATATGAGCATCCTAGGCAGAAGTTTCTTGTCTGTATTATTTAGTCCCTGTCAAATACACTCCTACTGGACCAGATATGCACACTGCTTGTAGGCAAAAATGCATTCATTACCACCCAAGTAGCAAAAGTTGCTTTCACAGCTTAAAAAAATATGAGTCATGTCATATGGAATATATTTGTTTTTATATGGTGGCCGCCTATGGCTTTAAACAATGAAATTCTTTTATCTTTGAAAAATTGCTCATATTTTCCCCACTTCACATATCATTTCCCTCCCTTTCATGTACTTCCACCCCTCATTCTATACTGCCTCTTCTCTTTTCAGGATATCTGGAAACATCGCTTCTGAAAAGAACCTCAAGGAAGGAGTGTGTGCCCAGATTGAAAAGAATTTTGCCAAAGCCAAATGGAGGGTGAGTCTTGTGCCATTAAATGGCACTGTGGTATAAGCAGGGGAATGTGGCCAGCGAAGGACTGTGGGACTGTAGGGAGCAAGGCCATACTTTATGATCTGCCCAATGATGTTTACGCTTCCAAACAGTTGAAGGAACCCTTTCCACATCCACCTTTCTGTCAACAAGTTCTGTGTTTGAGCTATTGCCAATCGAAGTAGTCAGTACTGAGATAGATGGACCAATGATGTGACCCCATATAAGGCAGCTTCATAACAGGAGAGGGGTCATACCTCAGTGGTAGAACAGATGCTTTGTATGCAGGTGGTGCCTGTTCATTCACCATCATCTCCAGGTAGTGCTGGAAAAACACCTGTTGGAAATACTGGGGAGCCACAACCAGGCAGTGTTGACAGTCCTGGGCTAGAGGGATGGCCCTGGGCATGTTGCTGGGGATTCTGGAAATTAGGGTGCATTCTAGGGCACAAATTACTTCAGCATGGAGTGCTGCCCAAGTATATCAGGCCTTGCTATTCCTTCCTTATGCCAACTAAGAATGTGCCTATAACCACCCAGCATTTCACTGTAGTTGCATACTGTAAGGGGAAGTAATAGCAAAGTTCTGTTAGGAAAATCTGCTGTTAGTGATTTCCTCACTGGGGAACCACTTATAAGTTTCCGGAGAACCTTAGGGATTGCCTGAAATGCAGTCTGAAAACAGCTTGCATTAGAGAAGGTAGAAGAGAATCAGGGCTTGGTCATGATGAGCTGAACAGATACAGGGCTTGCCTATAAAAATGAAGTAACTAAAAACAAAAAACCAAGCACACTCACATATAACCTGTCCTGTAGAACAGGCAAGGCAAACATGCTTGAGAGATCTTGATGATTATTTTTACTAGATTCCTTAGATCTACCACCCAGAGTCAGGCACAAAAAAACTGGTTTAGATGGGAAATATCATTTCAGAATTAAGAAACAAGGCAGTTTCTGAGCATATGATCAGCCCAGGAATTTATTTTCAGTACCAAAGTTGAGCTCACAGTCCTGTTGCACAAAAATCTAGGTTTTCTTCCATTTTAAGTAGCCTCGTTTAGAAGCTGAGAGAGGACTTTACTCTTAAAGCAGCTGCAAGTAGGAAACCCTTGGTGGTCTATTGCAAATCATTCCGAGATCCTGCTCTGCCTTTTGACAACTTCTGTAGTAAAATTTCCTAAAGGAAATCAACTTCGACTATTCCTTAGAAGGACAAATACTGAAGCTGAAGCTCAAATACTTTGGCCACCTAATGAGAAGGACAGACTCATTGGAAAAGACCCTGATGCTGGGAACAATTGAAAGCAAAAGAAGAAGGGGATGACAGAGGTTGAGCTGGCTGGATGGGGTCACTGGGGAGGTGGGTGTGGGGTTGGGTGGACTGGGGGATGGTGGAGGATAGGAGAACCTGGAGGAATGTTGTCCATGGGGTCGTGATGAGTCGAGCACAACTTTGTGACTGAACAACAACAAATAGTCAAATGTTTTTCTTTTGCAGAGAAAAAACAACTCTGCACATAACAGAATATGGTCTCTGGTTTCTTTTCTCTAAAGTGGCACCCAACAGTTAAAACCTTATTCCATAAAGAAGTCAGCTCAAAAGCCTAAAGTGTGTGTGAATAAATCCATAATTTGGCTGCTTGCAGAAGGACAAAAAATGAGTTAGCCTGGCCTCCCTAGCCAGGGATTCAGAGCCTGGAAGCAGCCATGAAGAAAGCCCTCTGGAATTCTTGCTGCTCCTGCTTTCATGGCGGGAGGAAGAGTGCTTAAACCCAGGCAGACTAATCTGGAAGAATGAAATCTTCCAACTAGCTTGGTTCCTAAGTTATCATACATCCATTATAAGGCAATAACTATTACTTTGAATTGTGCTAACATTTCTTTCCCTGTGACTTAATTATCCTATTATAAGCAATCCTATTGGCCTTTCAGATCCACTAACATTTGAAGAGTCAATAACACAAGTTTTGTTTTGTTTTTAATGTTGTCAGCTGGGTAGAGATGGAGGGCTTTGTCCTGCCTACCAGGGCACTCACCTCTTTATTTATGGCTGTGCAAGCTATAAATGTATAGTGGTTGTTTCATGTGGCATCAGTGACTAGGAACAAGTTGGAAGACTCAGCAAAGGGGCAGCAATTTGGTGGCTTGGTTGGTGGTATTTTCCTCCTTTTAAATTTAACCAACAATTTAACAACAAAATCACTGTATATGCAACTGCAGGCCTCGCCATATACACACTTTGATTCAGCCTAGCTTCATCCCCATTCTTGATGTTGTGTTTCTCCTTGCAGAAAGCCATTCGTGTTACTACTTTCATGCAACGTCTCCGGTCTGCCGATGTCAGCAGCCGCCTCCCTGTCACTTCCCGTTCCTCCATGAGTGTTGCTCATGAGGTCACCATTGAAGCACCTAGACCAGCCGACCATTTGGAGACTCTGTGCCCGCTGGAGGAGCAACAGAGCAAGACAGAAGGAGCTCCAGAGAAGAGGGAATAATAGCACCTGCTTCCCTCAACCCCATATCCTGATGCCTCCTCTGCTGAATCCACCTACTCTGCCTTTGGGAAGGGAGGGCTGTGTGGGCCAGTAGCATGGGGCAAGGAACCTGGGGGCAACTTAGCAGTGTTTTCCTCTTCCCCAACCCCTGCCACTGGTCAGGAACTGTATGATTTGGATGGACAGAAAGAAGGGCCAATCAACCACATGCAGAGATTGTGTTGGGGGAAGGAAGGACTGAGGATTAGAGAACAGGTAGTTGTTAGCTGTGCTCTGGAGAACGGCCCCAGCCGTTAGCAGCCATGTGGAACTCTTTTCCAGGCCTTTCTCAGTAGCCAGCACAAGCCGTGTCCCTTGACATACAACATCTCCTGCCCCAACACAAACAAAACACTTATGCCTTGTTGAGTGACAGCCTCTCACAGGCTCACAGACCAATGTCCCACAGAATCTACAGGAGAATATTTATTTATTTATTTATTTATTTATTTATCGAAACATTTCTATGCCGCCCCATTCACCGAAGCCTCGGGGCGGCTCACAAATTTTCCCACAATTCTCTTCCAACACACAAAAAGCTAGAAGCGAGAGTTGAGCCCAGAAAGGCCAAGCTTCATTTCCGACTTGTGGGTGCCCTTAGGAGCCAAGTGTTCCAATGCTGGAGCAGATGGGAGGGATCCTTTTTCCAGCCTTGCCCTGTTCCGTTTTGCCTAGTCCCACATTTCACTTTCAGCCATGGCAGGAGCAGTTTGGAAAGCAAGTCAGGATGGATCGCTGCCCTCCTGGTTGGATCCCACCCTCAGCTGGACTGTGGAGAGGTGGGGTAAGAGGGATGCATGTCCAAGCCAGCTGCATGTTTTATGAAGATGCTATTTTAATACAGAAACCTCCCAGCTGCCCCTCCCTGGTGCTGTATTTCCCTCTCCCGGGGCAGCTCCGGGAAACAAAAATAAACAGGGTTTTTCTCTGATTATTGTTTGTTATCCTATATCTGTGTTGCTGATTCAGGTACTTGATACAGGGTTACTTCACAAGGTATTTTAAACTTGCCTCCTGCACCTAAATATATTATGGCTTGATGACATAATCAGTAATCCTGGGATAATGCTACCATCTGATCTCTTTCAAGCAGTAGAGGAATATTTGGAGGTTTAAACCAGCTGACTGTGAGAGGATGAGCCCTTGAATAATCTGGGGCTCTGGGACTACCTCTGTTCCATTTCTGAATAAATGAGGATTCCAGTGAATATGATTATCCTGGCTATGAGGTGGACTTTGGCAAATATGCTGTAAGATTCACAATACAAAATATATTTTACACTGTTGCATCCATCGGGACTATGGGAGATGAAAACACAGAGGTAGGAAATGCCATTATTTAACAGTCAATATATCTCAGGCATGAGAACTCACCTTAAGGTAACTTGGGTTATCTAGATGGGTTCCATGTGCCTCCAAAACCAGTAACCTCCTTATTCAGGACCATATACCTGGCTAATACCCTTCTAATATACTTCCCTAAATCAACCAAAGGTTTTTGGAGAATGATGCATCTATAACTGCTTGGACACACTCCGACCCAGAAACGCTACCTTCTGTTCTCAAATGCCATACTAGCGCTAGTGCTCACTCATAGACATTTTCTCCTTGGAAATTTCATCCCTGCTAAAGATTCTGGCACGAAAAATAAGTGGCGAGCGAGCCTTAGCTCCTTTGTCTTCTCTAGTGTCACCACGTGTCTCTGCTTGAAACCTGCATTTGCCGGGGGAGTCAGGAGCAACTGAAGTCGCATTTACCATTTCCCGAATCTCGCTAAAGGGGAAAAAGAGCTGGTTTATTCTGTACGTGTGCAGAGACACTCTTCTAGTTTACCAAAAGCCTGCTCTAGCAATGAAGAGGCTTATGCCTAGTCCATGTGTTTCCCGATTCAAATTAACCATTGGTTTCACCCTTCCGTCTCTCGCCTGCTCTTCATTTCTCCATGTGCCTTTCTGTGCAAGTTATATCCCCACAGCATAGTCTTTTTCCGGTCTCAGTCTCACCACTTCCTCCTGTGTATGCATTCGGCAGTTCCTTGATCCACTTTAGTACTACCACTCACTCATACCCCTCATCCGTCTCCGTCACCCACGTGTTTATGGCTGTCTTTCTCCACGACCTTTTGCCTATTCTCCAACACCCCCCACGCGACATCAGAAGCCACGTGCTCCCTTATCCGTCCAGCCGCCTGAGAACTACATTTCCCAAGCAGCACTGTACAATGCTGCACCTGTACTATTTTCACCATAGTGCGAGGGGGGTGGCTGCCGTGCCTTCTCTTCATTCCTCCCAAAAATCTCTCTCCGAAAAAGATGCTGTGAAACAAGGCTTGTGTGTAACTTTACAATTCCCAGGAAATGCTTACTTGTCGGACGGGATAACTGATTCCACTGCTTTCGGGAAGACTGAGATTCTTTGTCCCCCTCTCCATCTGAATGGTGCAAGCCTCCCCTCTTTTCGCAGCAGGCGGCGACTGGGGCCCGCAGGCATCAGTGAGCGGCGGGAGCAGGAGTTGCAACTCAGGCGGTCCACAGTGGGGGGGTGAGATCCCGATCGGGAGCGGCCTGAAGGGAGGGCGCTGAAAGAGCGGAGGGGGGCAGAGAAGCGAGCAGCTCCTCTCTTGATTTGAGGAGGGGGCGGGGATCGTGATGATAGATGTGGGGGAGAGGAGGTGATGATGGGAGGAAAGGGTCGGTTGGGGTGGGGGAAGCGGCGGAGGCTCAAGATGAAGCACAAGGGCATTTTGCTAGTGTGGAGGAATCAGATTCTCTAAATGAGTTTTGGAGATTGCGGGGAAAGTTCGCAATCTGCTGTGACTTTCTGGTTGCGGGGAGGTAAGGAGCCCCCCATATTTTAGAGCTGAGTACAGTTTGAGATCATACCGAGAGAGTGGACTTTCCTAACGCTCCTCCTACCATGGCCAGGGGCATGCCCACCCCCGACCTCATCCTCATGATATGTTACTGTTGCTGAACCTGCTCTGTATTAATGAATTCTGTAGGAGTCCTTTGGCTCGCATATACGAAGTTACGGCCTTATATCCCGGTTTAGATCATTTGGAATAATTTCGAATGGTTAGGATTCTTTATATATGTTCCATCGGTATTAGTTGCGCTTTGCAGAGTTTCGTAAGCAAAAAGAAGAAAAGGAATGTCTCTGGAAGTAATCTAAGTTTTGACAGCGGGAGAGGCAGATTAAGAGCTGAGTGAGAAAAGCTACCAAAAGAAGTATAACCTTGTACTTGCAGTCCTTATTGTCCCCTAGAACCCTATTTCACCTGCCACCCTCTGCTAAAATGTCTGCAGCCCCTATCTCTGAAAAAAGTCGTGAAAAGTTTTACTATATTGTTAGAATTAATTCATGACAAAGAGAGTAAAAAAAAAGAGGCGAGTTAACAAACATGTGTTTCAGTCTCCCTTCTTCCTCTCCCCTTTTCATCTGTACTTCATTTCTCATAAAATGGGCATTTGAACAGCTGTAAACATGTACAGAATATAGCACCTGTTGGACCTGGTTACCTTTTCTTACAGACTGGGAAAAGAAGTAAGGGGCCAAATATGGGTTCCATTGCAGAACTTGTCAGAAACCTGTTCTGAATGGCAGAAAGATTGGAAATAATAATGAAGGAGCTGTGCCTCTGAACACATGCAGAGCATCCTTCCCTCAACAGCAAGTAATCATATGGGAGGCCTTTTCCACAATAGTGCCACAGGTTAAGTTAAAGGTGTGAGACAGTGTTGCTCAGGAGTACACATAAAACAGGGATGGACAGACTTCAAGATTCTGTGAATTGTCTTGTTTTCCCTAGAATCTCAAGGTTCCCCAACTGGAGTCACATGCAAATACTGTTTTAAATCAGACATACACCTGCTATGAGGGAGCAAGGAGCTTCTGAGCATAGGAAAGGACTCATTCCAAACTTCTGCTTTCACTATCAGAACAGAATTCACAGTCCTTTCATGCTCCAAAAGCCTATTCTTGGTTCCCCATCTCATCACCTCAAGTTTCCTTAATTTCAGTAGCCTAGCTTTGAGGCCAGAGGGGGAAGGGATGCTTGTTACCGCTCTTGTTAGAAGTCAGAAACTTGCAGATAGATCTGTTGTGTATTACACCAAGATCTGTTAGCAGATCCTGATCTACTTTCTGCCCATGCTAGCACTATGGCTGCTTTACAGCCCCCAGCTCAATACTTGATGTGATTTTTCCCCCTGTAGCCAATCAAGACAGTCAAAGAGCAATATGTTGTATTGTAATGGTGTGTGGGAAGCTTGATCTGACTCTGTGCCTAGCAGTCCTGTGCTAAAAACTCCTACCACAGGTGCTGGAAGTTAACTATGCATAGGTTATAGTTCTATAATTAGGTCTTTATGCCAGTGTGTGGAGCACTGAGGCAATTTTGAGCAGTAGCTTTTTACTTCATAGATATGTAGGCACTACCCCATGTTGTTGTTTCTTGACTTCTAGGTTGTTGTGATGTGTGGATGTGGCCACTCTATCAAATCGTGGTTCAATAACCACAAACTACCCAGAAAAGGAACTCATGGTTTGTTGTTAGGTTGTGGATGCTGAGCTATTTAAATTATCAACTGTTGTTATCTATAATCCCAGAACTGTGGGTTGTTCAATGGTTACTTCACTAAGCTTACAGAAGTGATAAGGAAAAATGATCTGGAAAAACCCCAGTCTTTCCACAAGAACAATGCTACAAAGGCATTAGGCATAGAGAGGAGGGACTGGAGGAGAAAGGAAGAAACAGGGAATGAGAAAATAAACTATGGTTTATTTCGTCTGCCAGACAAACCCTGGCAGGGCAACAAGCCTTGAATTAAAAAACTATGATTTAGTGTTATGTGTGAACCAAGCCATTAATTCAGGGGTGAGCAACTTATAGCTTCCTAGATATTTTGGCCTACATCTTCTATCAGCTCTGGCTAGTATAGCTAATGGAGCAGCTGATAGAA